TATAATATTTAGGCAAATACTATTATCAATTGTATCTTCATATGACTCCCAGATCATTAAGTTGACAATTCTTTGTTTTCACACATCTTATGTGTTAGCTTAACATGCCTCTAGAATTTATCTCCTTGAGTGTACTCAACAAAAAATAAATTTTAGTTAAGTCAAACCCATCATTCAGAAATATCTAATATTTCATAGTGTCAAACATATCCCTAATAGACCAGCGTTGAGTGTACTCAACAAGTTGAGACGATTTATGACTCTGATTTTTCACTATAATGATGGAAGGCAATTATAAATGTGACTTAATATTTTGTGGAGGGATTTTCCATTTAAAAGTTTCATCGTAACAATAATATATATTTTATTATACATCTACCATGCAAATAAATAAGTATATAATATAATATAATAGCGTAGACAATTATGGACTTTACTACCTAATCTTTCCGAGCCATAAGGAAGACTAGTTGGTCAATTCCTAAGGGGTATTACACAGATCAGTATCAATGTGCCATCACCATGGTCTCCTCCTCTTCTTGTTTCTTCAGTTAGTCAACATGTATCCTATATTAGTTGGCACGCAGGTTTAAATGAAATTGGACTCGCAGGCTCATAGCAATAATAATAATAACAGACTCGCTGGTCCAAAATGATCAAGAGCTCGCAAGCCCAAAATAATAATAATAATAACGGGCTCGCAGGCCCATAAAACGACAAGAATAAAAATTAACCATTCAACACATCGATATGGTCGAGTCTATAATCGTCCACTAAATACATTCATCACATAAATGTATACCTATATAATATCTAATATTATATGCAAATACGTTTCAAATTTCTAGCAATTAAGTTGTCTAAACTCTGTTAGACAAAAGGATCGGAACAATTAAATAATTAATTAATCACATTAACCAATTATTTAATTAGCGGGCATATTTAATTAAAATCTAATTTCAATTAAATATTAATTAGAGTCCATCTAATTCAACAATTATACGACGGGATTATCCAATTAAAATGAAATTTTAATTAAAAATCAAATTAGAGTCAAACTCTAATTTCATAATTTAAGGTAGTGGAATTTAATTAAAATCAAATTTTAATTAAATAACAAAATTAGAGTCTAACTCTAATTCCAATAATTAAGGGCGAATTAATTTAATTAAAATTAAAATTTTAATTAAATACCAAATTAGAGTCCAACTCTAATTTCAAAAAGAAATTTAGGGCGAGTTAATTTAATTAAAATCAAAATTTTAATTAAATACCAAATTAGAGTCCAACTCTAATTCCAAGAATATACTCGGGTGAATAACCAATTAAAATCAAAATTTAATTAAGTATTAAATTAAAGTCAAACATTAATTTAAATTGAATTAATATTTTAATATAGGATAACACTCCTAAATAAAATAAAAATTCAATTGGGGTCAAAATCTAAAATTTAAGTTAAAATCATATCTTAAAAATATTGAAAATCGTCAATTTTAAATAATTTTTTTTTTTTTTACTTTGGGTCAAAATTAAATTTATGGGTCAAACCCATTAAAATACATTTTGAAAAAGAAAAAAACATTTAAAATTCAAATTCTAAATCCAATTTGAAATTTGCAATTTGACCCAAGTTTCAAATTACTGGCAAGGCCCCCAAAACTCTGAAATTTCACAGAAGCCCCTATATTTAAATTTGCAAAACGACCCCTTATGATAATTGCAGAGAGGAGCCCCCAACATTTCGTTAATTACGGAACAGGTCCTTTTTCAAAAATTGCAAACTGACCCCCATATTCCATAATTGTAACCAGGGGCATGCAATTTCCCAAATTGCAGTTGAGGCCCCCGTCTCCACCCGATTTCTGAAAACCCTAGAAAATTCAAAAAATTTTTTTCTTTCTTCTAATAGTGCCGCCCAAAAAAAAAACAGTCAGCGTGCGACACAGCAATGTCGCACGCTGTTGGATCCAACGCCCGGCGCTGCTGCCAAGTGCCGCGGCTGACAGTCTCCCCTTTATTGGTCAATCACAACTTTCATACGATTCTTGAAGTACCCGAACGATGTCGTATTAGCGGTCCTTCGCAGAGCAACATCCAACACCGCCAAAGTATGATTGTTCTCATATAAGGTACATGACGACCTCAAGTCAAAGGACCAATTCCACTATCGAACGTTAGAAATTAATCACTGACACTCAGATAGTTATCCATGTGGAATCTCTCGGCGGGTCTCCAATGTTTTGTTCTATAACAAAACATCCACGTGTCATTTAAGTGTCACCACACTTTAATTTGTGAGATCGGCTACTTACTTTACAAGTCAGAAATACCACACGTGATGGTCTATCCGTAATAACGATATCTGTATCTCATTATTACTTACGACCATGGACGATTTAAGATTCAACCAGATGTAATTTGTATCTCACAATCACAACTCCTTGTAATTAACAAATTACGAAAATTTGAATCTACGAACTCTATTATTTATTTAATTATCTATTAATTAAATAATAGATTTGCCATTAAATTGCATTAATTATATATCAAAAGTATTTATATCCAAAGTTGATTGGACTTATGGCATAATACTTATAATAATGATACGTAATAAAGTGTACACCATAGTGTATATATAGCAAGGTTATCTTCTTTAATATGCTCTAAAAATAGAACCATGCTATTTGTACAACATGATTGACCCCTCTAATAGGGAGCTGCCACTTAATCATGTTGTACACGATTTTTTATAAATAGAATAATCCCTAAAAATATGAACTACTATTGATTAATGGACACGTCAAGAACAAATTAAGAATCCAAATGTTTTTGGAACAAAAGGCAAAAACACAATACAACAATTGTTCTTTCTCTCTAGGCAAGGTGCTCGCAGCACTTGAAAAATCTTATCGGGTCGTCTCCCTAGCCTCTATTTATAGGTTAGGTCTTGTTCTCTGTTCCAATAAACTTCTACTTTTATTTTTTGATTTTTATACATGTAGTGCCTGCTATTAAAGGGACTCAATTGAAGTTATATAATTTAAACTACAATAATTATACACGCGCCAATTCGAGATTGCTCGGCATAAATTTTTTTTTTTTTTTTTTAACGAGAATCTGAGCTCTTAAATTATATGAATATCTCAAAAGCAATATAAATTAATTTCTTGCAATTTATATCCTCTTGACTTGTTAACCATATGTATTACCACGTCAGATGTTGAATAATTAGATTGGGCTTAATAACCATTTTTTCCTTCTAATTACTATCGTACCTGCAACACGCATTTTCTCAAAAAAAAACAAAAATTCGTGACACGATCACAGAACAAATGGTTCAAGATCTCCAAGTAAATTGTTCAGATTTAAATTGTTTTCTGAAAAAATCCCTAAGTACACATTGTTGTCATGGTCGTAACTAAATTATCTCACTCAATTGGCATATCAAAAAAATATCAAGTTCACGAATAGAACGATCCTCTAACAATTTAGGTAATCCATAAGATAGTCATGTGCGATTAATTCGTTAACTTATATAGTCCATTATAGATTAATCATCATTTTACTTGACTGGTTCAAAACACTTTCACGCGTATCAGTATCATTACTGTCGAATTGAAAACTGTCATAAACAAGACAAATAACGTACCTTAATTGGTAGAGTAATTGATCCTTCAAAAAAATATATTGCCAACCTCTATTAACCAGTCTAGGATAAATCATTTCGATCGAAATTTAAGTTACATCTTCTTTACTTCTTTATGTAAGTTCACAAATCATATTATAACAATATTGTTAGGATTTTATGTATTGTCAATTCTTTAGACAAAAAGGAATTAAATTAAAGAGTTGTAAAAGTCAAGGAGTTTGTGGAAATATTGTATGGTTGAAGTTGGTAACCTAGGGTTTGAGTTTGGAACAAGAGGAAAGAGCCGCCGAATTTACGCTAGCTTATCGCCCAACTCATGTTCGAGCGGCAAAAAACAAAATTTTGTCGTCTACCTATCACTGAGCTATCGTTCGAGCGACGGGCTCGCTTGTTGCTGAGCTCTAGCTCAAGCGACAATGTTATATGAAAAACCCTACTTTGCATTTTTCAAGAATTTTATACAACTCATACTACCTAATTGACTTCCACTATGAATACGCAAGGCATTACACGAAATTCGGTTGACGATCCAAGATCACATCCATATATTGATTTCTATACTTTGATTCTTGAGATTATACAACCACTCGTTGGGAAAAATATCAAAGTTCAAAAATTCAAAACACCCACTTCCGTAACACATCAAGGAATATACTTTTTCAATAGCTTTTAGATGTTGCTGAAAATTTGAGGGGAGTTGGACTAGAAGCACATGAAGCGTACAAGAACAAGAAGTTCTTGGGAATATACAGGAGATAGACAATTTCAAAAGATCGGGAACAGGTGTGAGTGAAGCACGCTCCGGCGAGTTTTGGATATTGTAGAAATTAGATCAGCGAGTTTACTAGAATTTGTTAGGTTGAATCAAACTATAAGTTCACATTGTTTCTATTAGAGGTTATTGGCTTGGTCCTGGAATTTTTACCCAATTGAATTTTCTCCGTCAACAATATTGTTGTTCTTTATTGCTTTCATATTTATTGTTTGTGACATTTAAACCATATGATAAAGTGAATTGTTTGATAAACCATTTAGAAACAATTAAAAAGTGACTTGTTGCTTTTAATTGTATAATTCCACCCATAAGGTCAAACTTAATCGGTAATAAGAGCTTTTCAAATATGATCAATGACCTTAATCGCTTACTCAAGTATGCAAATAATAATTAATCATTCTTTATTTAAAGATAAAATAAAATATCATAAATTACAATTATTTCTTAACATTGGGAACCTATCCCATCAATGGATACAAAGATTAAAGGCAAACACCAAAATGAGAAGATTAATCATTGCGTGACTTGAAAACTCAACAGGATTAGGGTAGAAGACATTGCACCCAATAAAAGCTTTCATAGGGTAGAAGAATGGGAAAGATTCTCAACGGACCAAGACTGACCATTAAGAGTGAAAGAATGGATCACACGAATATGTTGGACCATGGCTCTATCTTCACCCACCCTTCTGATTGATGCTATAAAATCCTGGTTCATATCATATAGTGTCAGCTCTTCAACTTTGGATAGTTTATTGATGCCCAGTGGAGGCATTTCCAGTTTTGGACACCTGCTGAGAGAAATTTGTTGAAGTCCAGGCATCACTCCTTCGACGAATTTAATTGTATGTAGCTCGGAAAATTGGTCGATAACCAACTTCTTTATTTGGTTGAAGCTTGAAGTTTTAAACGTCAACTCTTCTGAGTCTTCTCCCGCAAAACAATCTACCAGATGAAGCTCCACGAGATTCGGAAGATTCTTAAGAGAATTCAGTGGACTATCCTGCAACCTGGAATACTTCAGACGAAGACAAAACAGATCTTTGAGTGAAGAGATCCACTCTGGGAATTTTTCCAGACGCCCTTTCAAGTATAGCCGCTGAAGAGAGAGAGGTGGTTCCGCATCCAAATCACCCAGTTCAAGATAATCTTCCTTGGTCGAAGCACATAAATCCAAAGTTGTAAGATGTCTCATCTGTTTGATAGATTCACACAAGTCTCTACCAAATTCTTTCTTGAGCCCAGTAAGTCCCAGCTTCTTCAGTTGGCTTAAATGTTTCAACTCCTTTATGATTTTACCATTTTGTCCAGCATCAATTCTTGACAATGTTTGCAGATCAGTCTTTTGAACCCCTTCAAATACCTTCACTCCTTGCACAGAGTCAAAATCTGCAAAAATTTTCACGGTTTTCTCAAATGACAATTTCTGCAGATTCGTCAAGTTTTCAATCCCCTTCACTCCTTGCACAGAGTCAGAATCTGCAAAATTGTTCGCAGTCTTTCGCCCAGCAAGGAGATGACGGAGTTTCTTCAGTCGCCAGATTTTTTTTGGAAGCTCGGTCACGTTAGTCTGCTTGAGGTCCAATGTTTCAAGGCAACCAAGCTTCTTTATGGACCTGTCATTAATTGCCTTTACTTTAGTATCCCTTAGACTAAGATACCTTACGAGAGTGAGTTTATAATTTCGTTTTGGAAATTCTGTCAAAGATGAGCCTTCCAAGTCTACGACCTTGAGCAATTTGAAATCTTGAAATCTGTTTCCAGTAATGGAGACAGAATCATTATCGGAGCCGAAGATGAACAGGGAACGAACATCACTGAAATCTCTATCTCGTGACCAACACCTGCAAGCTCTTGAATTTCCCCTGATGACCAAGTTCTTGAATCTCCCTGCAGGCTCTTTAGTGTTCCCCGATGAACAAGTGCACGCACTTTGAACAGATAGGTGGCGTCGTAGTTTCGGTCTTCGACTACTTTGTTTTGAGATAATTGATATAAAATTCTCTTCCTCGCACTTACTAAAAATAAATTTAAGCACAAGGTTGTGAACTCGACAGTGCCTGGGTGGATGTCCATCAGAATAGCGTCTAGAAACCTCAACCAAATTCCACAATATTAGTTCGTTGAGAAACTCCTCTGCTACGTTCTCAGCAGTTTTGCCATCTCTTTCATTCGCAAATTTTTCTGCTACCCACAAGCGCACGAGCCTTCCACAATCAATATCGTAACCTTGGGGGAAAATGCTCAAGTACAAGAAACAACTCTTAAGATCGCTTGGAAGATCCTTGTAGACAGATGACAATTTATTGTTGACATCTGGATCATCAAAATTAAGAGGATTAACAAGAACTCGAGTCCGTGTACCAGAACCCGGAACGTTGATGTCTTTAATAATTTGATGTTGCTCGATAAAATCACCTATCTTCCTCTTGATGGCTGTTATCTTGTGAAAGGTATCATTAAGTGGAACATAATGCTTGATATCATGGAAAAATTCCGAGGCTTTCTGAGCGAGTTCAGTCCCGTGAGATACGTGTTGAGAATGAAGCTCAAACTCCTCGATAACATCCTCTATTTCTTTAGCAATAGTTCGAACTTTTTCCACATGACGATCGAGCCATTTGCTGTGAACAGCACGATCTTCATCATGGTACATGATGAAGGCCTGAAGCGTCTCCAGCCAACTTTTGATCCTCTCAACTTCCTCTATAACATCGTTCTTGAGGTGCAGACGTTGTTTGAGAAGTGAAATCACCATCTCAACCGAGATCAATGCTCCAGTAACAGAAAGTTCTGCCATGTTCTTCTTCTTTAATGGTCGATTTGATGATGTTTTGGGCTTAGGTCTAAGTATATGTAGACAATAAAAAATGCAAGACAGAGAGAACTGATTGTTCCAATGGATTTCAGCTCCATTTATACAACTCTTGGCGTTGCCTCACTAGTTATACCGCGTTAAAAGTCTGTCATGATCAAGGAATTCAACTTGAAGTACTACATGTTTTCGCTGAAATTAAGATAGTTAGAAATTTCATATGAGTTGAATTCACTTTCGCTTAAAGATAATTTATTAAATAGGAATTCAAGAATATTCTACTTTCTAGAGATCCTTCACAAACTATGACATAACTTCTAAATCCCATGTTCTTACACAAGGTTGAGAAATTTTAATTCTTTTGTCATGGTAAGTTTGCAGTTCAACTGTCATAATTTTTTTTCTTTTCTTTTATTTTTTACTTATTTAATTTACAGTAGTAATAAATAATACCAAATTTCATGCTGGTATGGTGACATGACGTATGCATTGTATATAAGAGTAATGAAGCCAGACAAAGTCGTCCTTTACCATGAAGCAGATAACGAATTGTCCTTTTATCTTTGGTAGTTTCCTAGAAAGTTAAAAATGACATCATCCGTGGCGCATCATGATGACAGTGTAAGTTGTCACACACCACTTGAGAAAAGATTCCGAATGAGATGGTTATGTTAAAATAAAAAGACCAAGAAACGATCATAACACGCCTTGAGAACTTGGAATTTTCTGTTCCAATTTTGTCCGTGACTTTGAAGAGTGAATTACCCATCAATCCATTTTCGCTAATCCTAAATGAATTTTTTCTCGTGTATAGAAGCCAGGTTCACATGATCCAACCAAATGACTCACAAAGCGTGGATTCCACCAAAAATTAACCAACCCTAACGCCACCCCCATCATGAGGTGTCAATAGGGGTTCTCCTACATGTACACCAAGTGCTTCTCATCCTAAATTGAATATGGCCATGTTCACATTTTGGAGGAAAATTTAGAATGTAGACGAACTTTATTGATGGAATAGAAAGGAGAGAAATCCGAGTTGACATTATTTGTCTACAACAACAATTAATCGAATTGTTCATTAGGCCCATCAATGTGAACCAAAAAACCGATCTTGTGGAGAAAAAAATTCTGATAAAAAAGGGTCTCAAGTGTTAAAATTTTGCATCTTCACATCGTTCGTTTGGCATAACATTTGAAAAGTCAAAATAATTTTTTCAAATTCAAAAATTACTTTGGGACCTGTTTGACTAATTTTATAAAAGTATTTCTTCCAATTAAAATTTTTTTTTCAAAAAAATTGGTTCAATATATAAAAACACTTTCGAAATAGAGAGGACTTTTAAAAATTAGTTATCAAACAAAAATTGATGTAACTTTTTCAAGAAACTATTCTACATAAAGTAAAAGTAAAAGTAAAAATTATGTCAAACAAGTTCTAAGAACTTACATGACTCAACCAGAAGCAACACTCTATTGACGTAGAAAAAAATAATAATTATAATAATAATAATTGAAAGTAAACAAAAAAAAGATTAATACTAGTACATAATATTGTGTACATTAAGATATCCATACACTCACATGAAGTGGGGCCTACTCGAATAAAATATTCGAATGGGCCCTTCCCCATGTGATTATGGGAAATCTTGATGTACAAAAAATTAAGTACACCAAGCAAAGAACGTTTAAAAAAAAAAGGCGTTTAATTACTACTCTTTAGTTGTGGCATCTTTCCATTGGTTGATTTGTTGGTACCCAGATTGTGTTTTCTCTTTTTGGTTGTGAGACATTGTCGACACACTAAAAGTGCGGTCCAAATCAAATAGTCCAAAGAGTGAAGTCCAATTGGGGAGTCCAGGATAAAGGTCTAAACAGATTATTGATGAATGCAGTAGAAGCCCACGAACACAGTAATATCATCGCCCAATCTTACAAGACGCTCAGAATCTGAGCGAATGGAGTGCCTTACGGTCGCCCAGAGCGATGACCCCGTTCTCGCCTAAACTTTCGAATCGCCAAGGATATTGGCAAACATAAAATATTATGGTTATCCAGAATAGCAGTTATTGAAGTAGTTATTGAGTAATCTTATCACATTTCACAATTCAAGGAGCCCAGTTGAAGGCGGTTGAACGACAAAGAGTAATGGTAGCAGTTAGAGACGACAGTTCCATGACAAGTTAGCCACCATAAGGAAAGTGGGTAGTTATAAAGCAATCAAGCAGTTTCCAAGCGATCTGTCACGAGGAAATCATCAAGGGAATATAAAAAGGAAGAGAAGACATAGAGAAAAAGTCCGGAATCAAATACTCTCAAACAGAGAATATCTAATTTTAATTTCTTAGGTTAAATTTAAACACTTTTTTTAGTACTCGTGTGCTTGCGCCCCTTGGAGGCATTCTGTTTATTTCCAATTGTAAATCATCGTCAGTAAAACACCCATTTTTGGGACTTTATCTCAAGAGGTCTGTTCCTTACACAATCGTCCGATCCCTTTTTTAATTGTTAACGACTACCCGCGCAAAACAATTTGACACGCCCGGTGGGACCTTGGTGTTTGGTGTTGAGGAAACGAAAAGTTAAACAATATGCCTCACAAATCTGATAAGGAAGCAGCAAGTCAGGGAGGAGTCTAGTCTGTAATCGAGCAATATGAGGAGTAGCAAAGCTCTCCACAAACAGAGGGACGGAGTCAGAGCAGTCATAGTCGTTACGAACCAATGACGGAGTTGAGTCCTCGAACCATGCATGCATTGCTTGGAGAACTCACACAGGATGTCGTTGAACAGGTAAATCTACGAAATGTTCATAATATGGAAAGATTTACCCAGAATGGGAATGCACATTATGATAACATGGCCAAACAACTAAATACATTAAATGAAATAATGAACAAGTTAGTAGGCCAAATTTGTCAGCCAGTTGTGCCTATTGCAAATCACTTTCAAGTTAGGACAATTGGAGGACATAATTCCCCAATCCTAAGTCCAAATCAAGGGATAGAACCACTTTTGGTTCGTCTACTTCAAACTAGGGGGATGGTGTAATGCCAAATCAGAATAGTGATAATAGTGCATCTAATTTGGGCGGTAACCTAAATGTAAGAGGCAATGTTCTAAATAATGGACAGAATACCCTATGTGTTAATGAGGAATAAATATTCAGGCTAATGGTAACAATAACCCAAATCATAGCAACTTTGTTGCCAACCAAGGACCAAACATCAGGCCTCAGGCAAATCAACTGATCAACCAACCTGTAGAAATTCCATATGACCCCAATGTCATGTTAAGAAATCAAATTATGGAAATAATATAGAATCAAATGGCTTTTGAGGTACGTCCTGTCATTAGGTCGACTTACACAAAACCATATCCTGATTGGGTAGACCAAGCATATCCATGGCCTAGAGGGTATAAAGTGCCAGAATTCTCATTATTTACCGGTTTAGGAGAGATGTCTACTCTAGAACACATCGGACGATTCATACTGCAAAGTGGTGAAGTGACCGACTACCATAAAATGAGGTTGTTCCCTAGTTCATTAACAGTAGTAGCTTTCTCCTAGTTCGTAAATTTGCCAGCGAACTCTGTTCTAACATGGCAACAATTGGAGCAATTGTTTCATGCTCAATTTTATAAAATTGAGTCTGAAGTTACTTTGACCGATTTGACGAATCTACGTCAAATGCCAAACGAATGGGCAGAAGGTTTCCTTCAAAGATTCAAGACAGCAAGAGGTAAATATTTTGTACCTTTGCCCGAACAGGAGTTTGTCAAAATCGCTCAAAGTTGTCAAAACTTTGATTTGAAAAAGAAATTCCAAGACAGCGAATTTCCTGATCTTTTTCAATTGAGTGCAAACGTGATTAGGTATGAACGATTAATAAGAGAAGAAGAGCAAATGAAAAATTCTAGCAAGGGTACTTATTATAGAGACCTAAATTTTGATGTTCATACCATTAATGTCGAGTATTACGATCAAACCAAAATGTGTTTGGCCGAATTAATCAAAGGAGAAGCGTATACTTGTCCTATAATGGCTAAGCCTAAATCGTCAGGTAAGGATGAGCCTATAAAAGATGAAAACAAAAAGGGTAGAACGTACTCGTTCAATGTAATCAAAGCTGACCTTATATTTAATAAATTATATAAGGATAAGCAGATAAAGTTGAGCGATAAACATAAGTTGCCAAGCCCTGAACAAATCAAGAGTAAAAAATATTGTAAGCGGCATAATGCATGGTCACATTTGACTAACAACTGTTTGATTTTTCACCATGTGTTACAGGACGCCATTGAATCATGACGAATTACGTTCGAGGATATGAAGAAGATGGCAGTGGATGAAAACCCTTTTCCATAGCCACTTGGGGTGAACATGATGACGACTGGCTTCAAAAACAAGTTGTCAAAATTCAAGTTGATTATAGACGACGGAGAGGAGGACCCTGGGCCACACCCCAGTGTCTTTGAACGTATCAAAGGGAAGGAGCCTAAAGAGGATGAAGACGTCATGTGTGCAATATGTAAAGGAGAAGTGAGTACAAATACAAAGAAACCAAGGATATGGCAGCATCACCATCGCCCTAGTTTTTTACCAAACGCTCAGCTTGTTAGAGGGCGAGATACATCATTCTATAGGGACCGCCTTTTGAGAGACAGTTCAGGTCAATAAATAATGGAAGAACATTCAGGCCGCAACCTCGCCAACCAAATGTATGGCATTCGTTCGAGTATAATGCAGGAAGGGTGATACCCTTCAACGAGATGACTAGAACCCAATAAAGGCATTTTCAACAGAATTATGGACGAATGATGAGGCAACAACAGAGAGTGCCACGTCCTAAGGCGCCTAAACTACTCGAGGTAGCCAATTAAAATGTTCTCGAAGACAGTGAAGAGACTGGTACAGGTGAATCGATGGAAGAATTGCCAGAGAGTTCTTCTGGGAGATCGAAGTTTGAGCGAGATAGAAGGGAC